TACCACGTCAGCACTTTGTAAGTTCACTCCTAATATACAGTCTATGGTCATATAGTGGTCATTCAATGTATTCTTGTATCGCCCTAAATCACAGTCCAACACTCTAACAGACTCCTGCATCAGAGGAAAACTTTAAAACCCAGTGGGAGAAAAGTGAGAAACCTCATTGAGAACCACATTGAGAGAGGGACCAAGGCCACAGATCGAGGACCAAGGCCACGTGGTGAAAAACTAATTGCAAATTAGCCTCGGCTATAAATGTTATTGTTGCTATCAAATAAATACATAGATAGATCTACTTTATTGATCGCCAAAGAATAAATTCAGATGAATTCCAGCAGCAGAAGCATTTGTTCGAACCAATAAAATGAATAGATTATAAACAGATATTTGAACTTGAGCTTTCATATATTTTGGCATTTCTCCGTGGACACCGGCGACCGACATATCCTCAGCAAACATGTTACATTCTTTACGAGTTTGCGCAAGTTTTGAAGACGCTTTAACATATTTATTGTATGTTTCTCCGTGAGCCATGGTGACAACAGCTTGATTCCTCCCAAAGTTTATCCAGTTCCGTATTACTCTCTGTCTCCCTTCGGTCCAAAAGCTGCTGATTTCAAAAGAACTCCTACCATTAGAGTTGACAGATCATCAGCGCATGGCCAGAGTCCCAAATACACTACGTTCACCGCTGTGAGAATCCTTTGCTATTATTTCATGAGCTTTTTTGCATACTTCAAATGCACTGGGGTAAAATTCTCTGTAGTCCAGTGGTACTAAGAGACTAATTGCACACACATGGGACCGCTGATGTCTACAACAGTCCATTACCCCCCATTTATCACCCTGATCTGTTCGTAATATTGTGGCTCATTTGGCAACGGCCTCAGATTTATGCAAGCAGCCAAAACCCCACTGGTCTTTTCACATGAACCCCCCGCAGCCCGCAAGTCCCCACTGAACCACCAAATATGTTTCTGTAAATAAATATTGGGATATAAATAATATTTGGAGAGCTGGGGAGCATGCTGTTCGAAACGAGCCAGTTCTGAGCCTCTTCCGCAGCGAGAGATCGGATTGGGAAATTATAGGACACGGGATGAAGACATGACTTCCTCAAAGTGTCTGCAATTGTGGTCAAGCAAAAGAGAAATAGAGAATCTTACTCAACAGCTCTAGAGGGAGTTGGACCGGTCCTGGACAGACCTCCTGGACACATGTCGATAATCTGTACTGTTAAATGTCTATTGCGAGTCTATCTTAGAATGTTATGTTTTTCTTTTGTATAAATGTCTATATTGACTGCTTAATAACTTCCTGGTTTGTGACTTTCTGTTACTTCCTGTTACTTCTTGTTACGGCAATAAAACTAATTCTGATTCCACCTTGATAATTATATAGGGTTAGGGTCTCAGGGCTCTTTCTTACAAGTTTGCAAAGTACGGCGGGTTATGGTCAACATTGTACTTTTACAATACTCTTTCCATCAGGACAGAAAGAGCACCAAGAGTTACTGTTTGATGGTTTGGACTGAGAGGCGGGAGGTCCTCTTTGTTGTGTATTTGTCCAACAAAACTATTGTGTGAATGTATGCGGAAACTATATAACTGTTTTGCGAGCTAAGAGCGAGTGATTTTTGTTGTAGTTTGAAAGTTGTTTAACTTTTTGTAGCTTTACTGTGGTCGGATATAAATGATAGTAGAAAGTGTAGATCTACATAAAGGAATATTACAAAAACAGATAAGTGCCATGAGAAAATTATATACATTTGAAAGGTTTTAATGTTCTCTTTACCATGTTGTTCTTTGAAACCTTGCGGAGGCCCACATTGAGAGAGGGGTCTGCTTCCATCAACGACCATTGATCCAGGATGGGCTCAATCAGATTGTTTGTGGGGCTTACATTTTTGCCTCAGGTTGAAAAAACAGTCAAACTTAATGAAAACTTTACCACTACTAAAGCTTACACAGATGTCTTCAGTATATGGTAATTCAATAAAACCATGGTACGAACCCATTAGCATATAGCTTTCTTGCTAAAGTCATATAGCCTTCTATGCTAGCACCATTAAGTGATACCCCTTCTTGAGCATATCCTTAAAAATTTACCAATAACAAAACATGTTTAGGGTCGTAGCTAGAGGACCACTACTTAAAGACATGTTTTCAAAAGGGAAAGAAGTTTTGGAAAAAAATGAACTATTCACATGAGGTAAGGCAAAGCTGTTTTTTTTGTATAGCACAGTCCACAAGGCAAGTCAAACTGCGTAACAAAACAGGATTAAAAGGTACATCACAGAACATTCAAAAAAGAGCCAAGACCCAATCCTTCAGTCCTGTTCCGTTGTGTTGAACAGCTGGGTGCCTCTCAGACCCCTCCTCCCCGTTTCAATCTCGCTGACCTCCAGAATGCTTCCCGCTGTCACCAAACTTGGAGAAAATTACCTCCCGACAGCTTTAGCCTTTGTTGTCTTAGACTTTGGAGCACGAGGGCCCTCTCCGTCAACCTGTCCCGGCAGGAGCTGCTTGTCACCGACACATTATACTTTGTCAAAACGGTCTGAGAACTCACCCAAATAATCTCAGAGTTTTTTTCTTTTTTTTTCTCTGAAGTCCGCTGCGTTCAAACAATGAAAGCAAATGGTGTGAAGAGAGATAGAACCCACATGCAGGAAGCAGCGTGCAGGGTCACGTGAAGAAAAAAGGGAATTTCTGTGGGTAAAACAAGCGGAATAGTAGTAAATATAAAGCACTTGTTATAACAGGAACCACGTATGTCCAGAGCTTGTTGCGTTTTGTTCCTAGCTCCTGCTCCGTTTCAAAACACTGCCGTCATAATTATCTGCAGATGCCTCCACACAATCTGTATTTGATCCGAGCGTGCTGGTCTTTTACTGCGAGCTGCGAACTCCAAGATTGCAGGATAAAACGTATTCACTGCAAGGAAAACAACGGAAAGAAATATACAACAGATTGGCTAATACTGCAGAAAGTGATGGCTTGAATGATGTGTGTTTTTGTTGATTTGATTGAACCGCAGCTGAAGATGAGAACGCAGCATTGACAGACAAATCAGGGGGAGATGGCTCTTGGATTTAGAAGTGCAATCACTCAGTTAATGTACATTTGAGGTCTTCAGAATAGTTTTCTATCTTTACGTAGTTTATTTCAATGTCATTAGTATTTGTTGTCAATCTATGTTTATTGTACAGTGGCTCAGTTGGAAGAGCATTGGTCTATGAACCCATGATCGCCCCCACAACCCATGACATCTTCTCCCACTGATGCCTGCTGTTGTTGTATCCTTGGGCAAGACACATAACCCAACTTTGCCTGAAGCAGCGGCCATCTTCCCCTGGAACCATGGGAAAATGGTTGTGTTGATCCATTTATCCATCCATCCATCCATTTTCCTTCCCTTGATCCATCCCTGGCAGGGGGGTGGCAGTCACACAGAGCACCAGCCCCTCACTGATCCTCCTGCAGGTGGTGAGTCCACAGGAGCTGAGATCTTTCAGTGGGTTCTCGGGCAAAGTGGGGTTAAGTGTCTTGCCCAAGGACACAACGACAGCATTCATCAGTGGGAGTTGGGAAGTAGGTCTTGTGGTGGACTCGATCCCATGACCTTCAGGATCAAGGGCCAATGCTCTACTAACTGAGCCACTGTCGACCCTGGTTGTGTTGATTCTCTATAGAAATGGAAATTATTGTCTAATCTGTTTTTGGTGAATCCACAACTTTCTTCTCCAAGATGGCCACTGCTGTGATTTTGGGCTCCACACAAACAAATAGGATTGAATAACACAAACATTCATTGTAAGTGTCTGTGTGAACGAAGCCACTTCTTGCGTTTTCTCATTTCCAATCATTCATTCAATCATCATTGATCCGCTCTGTAGAACTCTCACTCTTCATGCAAGGCAGCCTGGGAATTTACAGGAACTGGAGGCTTTTTTTGCCACAAAGAAGGAGAAGCTTTAGCATCAGAGAGGAAAAGGAACCTCATTCACAAGTACCACAAAATACTCCAAGCGACCATCGATGTTAAAGGGGAAGTGGGGGGTGGAGATTTATGATCAGGCTCAGAAGAGGAGATTCTTAGTACAATGACTATAGAAAAATGTTTATTTGATGATAAATGGCTTTACACAAAATGAGTGAAAAGAAAGCATTTATTCCTTCAGCCCAAAATATGCCCCCCCCCTCCCAAAAAAAAAAAAAAAACGTGCAAACACAACAACAACGTCACAATGTAGCCAACTTAAACCCTTCTTAAAGACCTTATGACGGGTTTAAAAAAAAAAAAATAGTGGATATCAAAATTGCATGACAATGTCAATTTGAAAGAGATTCCGGCAAAAAAAAATCCTATATTTTATAAAAAGAACGTGTTTTTCATGAATTTAAGTTGTCTATGCTCTAACCTGTGTGTGACGTCACAGCGGGTTACGCCCATGCATTGAAAACCATGGATCTATGCCACAGGACTGCCTTTTCTCTCTTCTCTCCACTGATGCCCAACACAATACTGCCCTCTAGAGGTGACAATTGCTCACTACACATAAATTGCCATTTTGAGAGAAAGTGTCCGAGGTGGGATTTGAACCCGAGTATCTGGATTGACAGTCCATCGACACAACCACTGGACTATCTCAGCGCCAACGAAGAATGACAATCTAGTATTTATGTCAGACTCGCTGTACACGGCCTTGTCATCTTGAATATCCGCGAAAAAAGAACGAATACCAAATTGTAAACAACTTACAGCGTTGAAACGTACCCGTTCTGACGTCACCAAGGGCTGTGAAGTTTTTTCGTCTCTAAGGGCGTTGCTATGGGGTTATTTCGATTTGGGGGGATCAGACAAAAAAAACAACAACTGATTTTGAAACCTTTAGTAGTTCTCTTCTAATATAAAATGGTATTAAAACTGTATTTCTAAATAAATCAAACCCGTCATAAGGTCTTTAAATACTTCTATCTGTGTCTTTCTTCCAGTTGTCCCCAATAGCACAAAGTCGGTGGAGGAGGAGAAGAGGTTCCGGGACTGTGCGGATCTGTATCAGAGCGGAGTGAGAAAGAACGGCGTGTACACCCTCCAACCCACGCCACAGGAAAACAAGAAGGTGAGAGCTTTACGACCCCCACTCAGACTACTCCCTTCTACACTTATAAATCTGTGTCACGCAAATGCTTTCTCTTCATTTACTCAAAGATTCAAACACACAAACACACACAGAGGAATCACCCGAGTGTGAGAGAGACCGTACATTTCTGCTTTTGATTTTTGAAACTTGTACATTTGACTGTGTGTGGAAGTGAAAAGTACAGATTTTGGTATTGACTATAAAAGATACAGACACTATTATTATGCAATGTTTTATTTTGTTACATTGATTATTTGTGATGGACTGGAGTTGATTCTTGCAGAAAAAGAGAGCAGGGATAGAGATCACAAGGAGATCAGAGAGAGAGAACAGAGAGAGAGAGAGCAGTGAGAGATCAAAAAGAGAGAGAGAGAGATCAGCAAGATACCAGAGAGAGACCAAAGAGAAAGATCAGAGAGAGAAACCAGAGAGAGCCCAGAGTGAGACCAGAGTGAGATCAGAGTGAGACCAGAGAGAGCCCAGAGTGAGATCAGAGTGAGACCAGAGTGAGATCAGAGTGAGCCCAGAGTGAGATCAGAGTGAGACCAGAGAGAGCCCAGAGAGAGCCCAGAGTGAGATCAGAGTGAGACCAGAGTGAGATCAGAGTGAGACCAGAGAGAGATCAGAGCGAGACCAGAAATAGATACTATATATAGATATCGAAATTTTGATCCCCGTAGGAGAATTCCAAGTGTACAGCAGCAGAAGACCCATCCAGGTTTGTTGTACAGTCTGACAGCCGAAGGAAAAAAGGATCTCTTGAAATGTTCCGTTCGGCAGCGCAGAGGGTGCAGGGAGTCATGCAGAGGGTGTCCTCCAGAGGGTGTCATGCAGAGGGAGTCATGCAGAGGGTGTCCTCCAGAGGGTGTCATGCAGCGGGAGTCATGCAGAGGGTGTCATGCAGAGGGAGTCATGCAGAGGGTGTCATGCAGAGGGTGTCATGCAGAGGGAGTCATGCAGAGGGTGGCATGCAGAGGGTGTCATGCAGAGGGAGTCATGCAGAGGGTGTCATGCAGAGGGAGTCATGCAGAGGGTGTCATGCAGAGGGAGTCATGCAGAGGGAGTCATGCAGAGGGAGTCATGCAGAGGGAGTCATGCAGAGGGAGTCATGCAGAGGGTGTCATGCAGAGGGAGTCATGCAGAGGGAGTCATGCAGAGGGTGTCATGCAGAGGGAGTCATGCAGAGGGTGTCATGCAGAGGGAGTCATGCAGAGGGAGTCATGCAGAGGGAGTCATGCAGAGGGAGTCATGCAGAGGGAGTCATCCAGAGGGTGTCTGGAATTGCGCAGGATGCCCTGCATTAGAGCCCTCTCCAGCACAGCTCCCACAGAGTCCACACTTCTCCCCATCACAGAGACACATTTCCATTTCACTATTCAGAGTAAGACCAGAGAGAGACCAGAGAGAGACCAGAGAGAGACCAGAGTGAGACCAGAGAGAGACCAGAGAGAGACCGGAGTGAGACCAGAGAGAGACCGGAGTGAGACCGGAGTGAGACCAGAGAGAGACCAGAGAGAGACCAGAGTGAGACCGGAGTGAGACCAGAGAGAGACCAGAGAGAGACCAGAGAGAGACCAGAGAGAGACCAGAGTGAGACCGGAGTGAGACCAGAGAGAGACCAGAGAGAGACCAGAGAGAGACCAGAGAGAGACCAGAGTGAGACCAGAGAGAGACCGGAGTGAGACCGGAGTGAGACCGGAGTGAGACCGGAGTGAGACCAGAGAGAGACCAGAGAGAGACCAGAGAGAGACCAGAGAGAGACCAAAGACTCCGCTTTGAGACTCAGATCTGCAGTGAAAAGGCGGTATATAAATAAAAACTTACTAACTTACTTACTTACCAAAGAGAGACCAAAGAGAGACCAGAGGGAGACTAGAGGGAGACTAGAGGGAGACTAGAGGGAGACTAGAGGGAGACCAGAGAGAGACCAGAGGGAGACCAGAGGGAGACCAGAGATAGACCAGAGAGAGGCTAAAGAGAGACCAGAGAGAGACCAGAGGGACCAGAGAGAGGCTAAAGAGAGACCAGAGAGAGACCAGAGGGAGACCAGAGGGAGACCAGAGATAGACCAGAGAGAGGCTAAAGAGAGACCAGAGAGAGACCAGAGGGACCAGAGAGAGGCTAAAGAGAGACCAGAGAGAGACCAGAGAGAGACCAGAGAGAGACCAGAGGGAGACCAGAGAGAGGCCAGGGAGAGACCAGAGAGAGACCAGAGGGAGACCAGAGAGAGACCAGAGAGAGACCAGAGAGAGACCAGAGAGAGACCAGAGAGAGACCAGAGAGAGAACAGGGAGAAATCAAAGAGACAACAGAGAGAGAGACCAGAGAGCGATCAGGGAGAAACTAGACTTGAGAAAGAGTGTTCTACAACATAACACTAGAAAACAAATGCAACATTATACTTCTTTACCAACTTCTACTGCTGTGGGAGTCACAGTCGATTCTGATATTTTGAAACTGGAAACGGGCTTTAATTGAGAGCCACTTTTCCAATAGGCCGTGGTAGCGTGTCAAAACAGCAGTGATTGCTCCGACTCTGCAGCAGCTGGACGTCCGCCTCTGTCTTTAATAATGACGCTCAGAGACGGCGGGCGAGGCGGGGGCACGGCTCTAATCACATCCAGGCGGAGGGCAGATGTGACTGAGGTGAAGACCCAGGCCCGAGGCGCATGGTGCTGCAGAGGGGGCCACGTTATCAACATGTATGTTAGGTAGGGGGGATAAGGATGAGATGTTAGAAAAAGTCTGCACTGTTTAAACGTAGACAGATATATAGATAGCTAGACATATAGACATAAAGACAGATAGATAGATAGAAATATAGATAGACAGACAGATGGAGATAGATAGATATAATACATGTATATATCATATTGATTAATATAGTGGGGAAACCTGTTTGAAGGAGTTCCAACATGGCCGCCAGCGCAGAGGGAGCTCACACTGATGGAGTCGTAGGAGGAGATAGGCACACCACATTCCTGCACATGATTCATTCTAAAAAACATGGAAAAGGAGTGGCCGAAAGAAAATAATTGTCCAAATGACCTCTCACTGCTTGATGTTGACAAAAGTTAAGGGAAAATGAGAAAAGTCTTGAGCAATATAAGAAATCTTACTGCACAGACATGTTTTGACATTGTTTCTAGTTATTATACGGCTCCTCAAAGAAGAACGCTCCATTGATTTGAAAGTCATTTAGGAACGTTCTACCGCTCATTATTTCTAGATTACAGACCTCTGAAACCAAAAGCGTTGCCATTTGTCAGATCACAAGAAATTAAAGCTATATCTTTTCACACATGAACATTAATTATACATCAAATATAATATTTTATATTTGAGTTGGACTGAAGCCACTGGAGAAAGTTCATTTGTTATTATTATTATTTTTTTTTTATTTTTTTTTTTCATAGTTGTAAATGATTTCTCACTGAGCTGTCATATCGTCGTGAGTGTGTGTGTGATTTATGTATAAAAATATGTAAAAGCATGTAATGATTTTGAGGAGACCCCAGAAAGATTAGCCACTGCATCTCAGTGGCTAATGGGGATCTTAATAAACTAAAACTAAACTAAACTCCGCAAGTAGTCCGCCCACTTTGACAAGGAGCATATTTACGCTAGCGTTATCTACTTCTGTCTTTGTGAGAGAATGTGTGGAATCCCTCCAGAGGTTAACGGGAGTCTGACTTTCAACTTACCCAGAGACACACCACCTCCTCATCTCCGACCGCACCTTCACCAGAAAGGTCTAGTTAAATATAAATAAGTGGGAACTATTTTATTTGCTTTAAATAAACCTTTCAGCATTCGTGAAAGTGGACTGAAGTGTATTTTGTGTGGTCAGTTGCAGACAGCCCTATAATAACGTGTAGTATATGTGTTATCTTGCGTTCTGTGCATTATCCCTTACTGCATGTTACTTTTCGTCATTTCATCATCATGTCATGAACGCTGTTAAGTCAGAGGCCATATTCATATTAAGTATGTGTTATTTGTTTCTTTAGGTCTACTGTAACATGGAAGCAGCTGGAGGAGGATGGACCGTGATCCAACGGCGAGAAGACGGAAGCGTGGACTTTCAGCGGACGTGGAAGGAGTACAAAATGGTACTGTTATATTTCACATTTCACAGTTCAGCCTGAGCAGAGTTAAGCTGGGGCCCCAGCTTTTAAATCCATTGTTTTTGGGTTTAATGTTTAGGAAAACAATAAAAACTCGTGATTTTAACGTAATACAAACAGGTGAAGCTGGGAAAATTACTATATTGTTCAAACGTCTTATATTTCTGTATTTAAACTTCAAAACACATTCAATGCAAATTCGCTAGTAGTAGTTTCAATATGGTCTAGTTTTCTAAATGTTTCATGTTTTTTCTTTCCAGCTTTCAGTCACAAAAATAATTTCACATTGTAAATAGATTTTTGAACAAGATCCAAATTTTGCATTTTCATCCGTACATATATACTGTATTTTTCGGGTTATAAATCGCACCAGCTGAAAATGCATAAAAAAGTCGGAAAAATCATATAAAAGTCAAATTTGTTGAGTTTTGACGACCAAAATACATTTGCTAATACAAATGAAAATTCAAAATTGTCTCGCTCTCTCTCTGGTGGGTGGTCAGATCGCTCTTCTTAATAGATTAATCGCTCATCTTATTAGCCCGGACTATTATTTGATATTTTACGGTAAATAAAATATATATTTCAATTAATAATTACACACGCTGGGGCGACAGTAGCTCAGTTGGTAGAGCATCGGCCTTTGAGCCTGAAGGTTGTGGGTTCGAGCCCACCACCACGACTCCCACTGATGACTGCTGTTGTTGTGTCCTTGGGCAAGACACTTAACCCCACTTTGACTGAAGCCCCCACTGAAAGATCTCAGCTCCTGTGGACTCAGCACCTGCAGGAGGATCAGTGAGGGGCTGGTGCTCTGACTGCCACCCCCCTGACCCAGGAATGGATTGAGTGGAAGTGGATGGATGGATAATTTCACACATAAACTGCTCCAGAGTACAAGTCGCACCCCTGGCCAAACTATGACAAAAACTGCAACTTATAAACTGAAAAAATACAGAATATATAGAATCTAATTTCCAGCCACCTCCAGTGTGGTAATGCTATCATGCTAGCTACTCATATCCAAAAGCTAATAGTTGATTAGAAAACCCATGTACGTATTTTCTCACCGCAGGAATGAAACCGTCGGACTCCCTGGAAAACATTTCAACGGTTTTTTTGTCAACTCTGTGAGGTCACTTTTATTCAGCCCATTCTTTAGGACCAGACCTGAGCGATTGTGAGAAATGATGTGTGTTTCTGGCCTCGGTGAAGACGCTGAAATCTGCAGATCCAGGTTTAAATATCTTCACCCAGAATGCATTTCCAAATCGCTCCAAAATGTCCCCTGTCTTCGCCGCTGTTATTCTTCCCTCTCTCCAACGGGAAATGATTACAGAAACCACCAAACGTTTGTGCAGGACCAGATATTTGACTGTGGCACCGTCGCTGTCAGACTGTACAACAAGTCACTCTAATGACTGAAAAAACCTGCACTGCTATAGACACATCTGATGTCTTTTTGTGTGATTCTATCTCTGCCAAATGTGACATGTTCATTTCTCCGTTGTGAGCTCGATAAAAGTTAATCTTATATTTAAACCAGATCCTGTCAGACATAAAAAGCTAAGCAGGAGAGGGCCTGGTTAGTACTGTGATGGGAGACCTGTGGAAACACCAGGTGCTACAGTGAGGCGGCTACGGCTGTAAAGTCCTGATAGGCTAGACACATTGCCAAGAGTGAGTCTGACGTGTGAAAATGGTTGGTGGGGGTAGTGGGAGGGGTCAATGGCCTGCACTGTTTGCCTCGCTTCTGTCAGTGTGCCCCAGGGCGGCTGTGGCTACAGTAAGATAAGATAAACCTTAATTTGTCTCACAGTGGAGAAATAATAATAATATCAACAGGCAAAGTGACTAGTGACAAAGTTACAAGTGAAATATCAGTGACACTTGTACAGACTCAGCAGTTCTTGTTACACATTCTCGTTGTACAGTCTGACAGCAGCAGGAGGAAGGACCTGCGGAACCTCTCCTTCACACAGAGATAGGATGAATGAGTCTGTCTGTCTGTCAGTAGTAGTTTATCATCACTGTGTACGGAGTGAATGCATTTTATGAAGCTGACATGTTATTATTCTAATCTTGTGTGTCCTTACTAATACACACAGTTGTCCTTGTGGTGATTAAAAGGAAAAAAAAGATCTAGGCAACTTTATTTGAATAGCACAGTTCA